CTGCAGACCTGAAACGCGAGAGAAGATAAGAAAGCAAAACAAGTCAGGTCGGAGTTGTATGATATGATCAACACGAGCTAGAAAAGAACCCCCTCCGGTTGCTGCCGGTACTGGGAATCGGGCTGGGGCAGCCACAATGCTACGTTATACCATAACACTGTGTCATACAGAGTGCCACCTTACTGAATGGAAAGGGAGTCTCACTCTGGGCTCATGCGCGAAGCATATACCCCGATGCAGAGTTGACCATTCCCATTCTGAGTGTTATTGATGCACGACATCGCTCGGCTGTTTCCGCAATGCAGATGGTGTTTCTAGAAAGATGCACAGTAGATTTTCCATGGCTCGTGTTAGGGGTGGTATTTTTCTCTCCCAGATTAATGATTTGTGGAAGAGAAATAAAGAATCACGATCCAGAAGCAGCACCTAAAACTCTATATAGTGTCAGCATTACCTAGACCTCTTGTCACAGGCGTGCTTAACTACGGCGAAAGTCCTGTCAATGAAATTGTACTCCGTATGTCTTTTTCTTTTCGCGAAAGCAGCAAAAGTGACTACTTAGCCCTTATTACTAAGCAATAATAGTTAAGCTTAAAGTGGCCCCACATTAATTAAGGTTACCCCAAAGTTCAGATCTTCTCTGATTGGCTGGAAGCCCGGCCACTGGCAAGCCAGCATCTCGGCTTGTTTTCTGCACGAAAAGGAGTGTAAATAATTGATCTGCTTGCATCCCTCTGCATCTGCATTTCAGCCCGTTGAAAAGGGAGGGACAGCACATTTTTCTTCATCACCCAGCATACTCATACTCGCTTTCCCTCCCGACATCATCATGGATAGGTCCTCAGGTAGTCTATCTACGGGAGAGATGAGCAGCCATGGGGCTCCTCTCCAGGGGACTGAGCTAGCAGAGGCTCCCGACCTGGAACTACTGGGTGAGTGCAAGAATTGAAAAATCTTCATCTTCCAGGTCGCCTCATAGAAAATATGCTAATGCAGAGTATATCTAGCGGTCATGGGTTATAAGCAGGAACTTCGCCGACATTACTCCACGATTCAGGTGTTTGCTATTGCCTTTAGTATAATGGGATTGCTGCCGTCAATTGCATCGACGCTGTCCTTTTCCGTGCCTGCGGGGCCAGCGGCTATGGTTTGGGTACTTAACCCCTCCACCAACACAAGTTATAGATAGTAACACAGGACTCTGGGGATATGGCTAACCACTGTGCACTTCCATATAGGGCTGGTTCACTGCCTGCTTTTTCATATTTATAGTTGGAATCGCTCTGGTAAGTTAAAAACTAGGCGTCGTTTAGCTCGTACGGCCAGTATTACTGAAGTTTAACTAATAATAGGCTGACCTCGGCTCCGCGCTCCCAACATCCGGAGGATTGTATTGGTGGACACACCACTTCGCAGCAGACAAGTGAAAGAACCCCCTTAGCTTTCTCGTTGGTTATAGCAACACCATAGGCCTCATTGGCGGTATATGCTCGGTCGATTGTAAGTGATTTTGTGCCCAGTAGCCCACCGCCAGTTTTATGCTGATAAACCTTAAGACAGCTTCGTGCTTATGGTATTTGCCATCGTCTCCTTCGTTCGTGACGGCGAATGGATGGCTTCAAGAAGTCAGATATATGGCGTTTATGCCGCTACCATAATAGTCCACGGCATACTTGCCATACTGGCGGCGCCAATTATGCATCGCATACAGTCAGCCTGTATCGTTGCTAATGTTGGCCTAGTACTAGCAACTGTTATTGCATTGCCGATCGGAAGATCAAGAACTGCCGAAGGTATCAATTCTGCAGCCTATGTCTTCAGCCACGTAGAGAACCATACCTCATGGCCAACAGGATGGGCATTTATGCTCGCGTGGCTGTCACCCATCTGGTCCGTCGGCGCTTTTGATTCCTGCGTCCATATGAGCGAGGAGGCCATGAACGCTGCCAAAGCTGTTCCCTATGGAATCCTGGGAGCCATTGGCGCATGCTGGTCCCTTGGTTTTCTATCTCTTTGCATCATCGCTGCCTGTATAAGTACCGACTTAAGCTCAGTCCTCGAGAGCCGGTTTGGACGGCCAATTGCCCAGGTAACTTCATGGTCTGAAGCGCACTTCGTAGGTATCAAGCTAATATATCTGATTCATAGATATACTATGATGCTCTGGGGAGAAACGCAGCAATAGGGTTTATGGTGACCATGGCAACAGTCCAGTTTTTCATGGGATTAAGCATTGTAAGGAACCCTTCGGCTAGTCGCTTAGAAAAGAGACTGTCTTAACAAGATATCCAGGTGATCGCGGCATCTCGACAGACATGGGCCTTCTCCCGTGATGGTGCCCTCCCCTTCTCAAACTACATGAAGGTAGTCAGCAGGAGATTCCGTTATCAACCAGCGCGTGCAGTAGTGGGAGTCACTGTCACGTCAGTCATACTTGGTTTGCTTTGCCTTATCAACAGCGCTGCCACAAATGCGCTATTCTCGCTAACCGTCGCCGGAAACAATGTTGCCTGGGCCACTCCGATATTCTGCCGTATATTCTGGGGCCAGAACAAGTTCAAGCCTGGTGCATTTTACACAGGCCGGCTCAGCACACCAATCGCCATCCTTGCACTCGCGTATCTCTCCTTCTCAGTCACTCTGTCGATGTTCCCAACTGCCGGGCCAGCACCATCCCGTAAGTACTTTCCCGCCATCTTTCTCCAGCATTATGTGTCCCATGTTAACACCAATATTTCCATAGCGGATGGCATGAACTACACCATCGTGATCAACGGGTGTGTCTGGGTCGGCTCGCTGTTGTACTATTTCGTATCTGCCAAAAATTGGTTCCATGGGCCGCAGAGGACTCTAGACCCAGCATCGGTGTCTCTGGAAGAAAGCGAAGACAAAGAGAAGAGATGATGCGAGGTTCCCTCGAACTGGTGTTATATTGTATGTTTTTTCCCCTATGCGGTGTTTTTTTGTTGGCTTTTATTTTTATTATTTTTGTTCTATCTTTTCCCGCCAGAGGGATAAATTTACAGTTTTAGAATTAAGCGTAAGTTACTAGAGTTTAGATAAGCTATGCTGACAAAGCAACTCTAATTTGACTGCTGAAACATGATAGACCAGAATATCAACCAAGCCATCTCCATAACCAACGAGCGAACCAGCGGACGGGGTAGTGACATCGGTACTTCGAGGAATTCTCAGCCAATGTCTGTCGTTTCACCACTGAAGGATTTTGGCTTGGCGGGCAAATGGTACAAGCCGCCACAAACTTCTTGCACTTTTGCGACATCGGACATGTTGCGATGCGTTTGAGATCCCTGACCATGGAGCACAGGCGAGTTTGTCTCCAGAGCTTCGCATCGCTTCGTGTCTTCCCCGCCATATAGAGGTAGTTGAACCCGTCGGGTAGCCGAAGCTCTCCTCAGAGACTTATTTATCCTGCTTGCTCCCCCCCCCGGGTTCCTGGCTTGCTGAGGGGGCCCGTCTTCGCCTTTGTTTGTCCTGTTACTTTCCCCCTGTTTTTTGCATTCCGTTGGAAGAAGACATTCCAAGTCTAAGACTCCACTTATAGACCTGGAGGCCGGCTCGTAACTGCAGCTTCTGTTGGTGTTGCCGGATACTTGTCTGGCGCCCGTCTGCATTACCGACCCGGCGACACAGAAAAGTTCAAAAGACGGAAAAGAAGCAGGAAAAAGGAAGACGGAACCGCCGAGGGTCTCTCTCCATGATGGCTGTTACTGAAACCCATACTGATGGCGCGGATACGATCATTCCCACGAGTGCGCATGGCAAGCCACCGGGTGATCCAGTCCTGCTGGAGAGTGCAATGCCTGAGGAAACTCCCCAGAATGCCCCGTTGCACCGGACTCTGAAGTCGAGACATCTTCAGATGATTGCCATCGGAGGTGCGTCTTGCTTTTCTGCTTTGGAGTTGTTCCTCTATGCCTGATCAACCAGTTAATGTTATCTTTGGAACAGGCATTATCGGCCCCGGTTTACTTGTTGGATCCGGAAATGCCCTACACGTTGCTGGACCTGCCGGCATTCTCATCAGCTTCACACTCGTTGGAATCCTTGTTTTCTTCGTAATGTAAGTACTTCCTTAGTGATATACAAAGGCTGTCCGGTATTTATACTTACTATATAAGGCAATCTCTGGGCGAAATGGCTACTCTTATCCCCGTGTCGGGATCGTTTACAGAATATTCAGCTCGTTTTGTTGATCCGTCGCTGGCTTTCGGTCTTGGTTGGGCTTATTGGTATTTATGGGTTACCATTAGTTTCCATTCATCCCCACTACCCGTTTTCTTATATTTAAATCATCTTCACGATTACTGACGATTCTCAGGTCCTTTCTAACGAATACAATGCATTAGCTCTTGTTATGGGCTACTGGACAGATGTTGTACCGCAATGGGCATGGATTCTTATGTTTTGGGTCATATTCTTAACACTGTCAAATCTTGGAGTTCTAACATACGGCGAGGTTGAGTTCTGGCTTGCCTTGTAAGTATCTACACCTTGACCCCTTTTTCTGTCTGGTAGCTAATCGTAACTTGTGTATAGGATCAAAGTCATCTCCCTCACGATATTCCTTATCCTTGCAACAATCATCAGTGCCGGTGGTATTGGCGGCAAAACAATCGGGTTCAAGTATTGGAGCAATCCTGGCGCTTTTGCCGACTCTATCAACGGAGTAGCGAAGACATTTGTGATCGCAGGCACACTCTATGCTGGGACTGAAATGTATGATGCACCATCCACCTTATCGCTCCGTTGAGTCTCTCGTCTTACACAATCTAGGGTTGGTATTACTGCTGGCGAATCGGCGAACCCCCGAACCGCCGTTCCGACCGCTATCCGCCAGGTGTTTTGGCGTATATTGATCTTCTACGTCGGTGTGTACTCCTTCAATAACGCCTCTCCTATATCGTCAACGAAACTAACATAATGTTAGGTATGATGTTCTTCATTGGTATCCTGCTACCATATGACGACAAGCGCCTCCTGTCCTCTGGCTCCAAGACAGCGCAGTCACCTCTGACTATTGCACTCTCCGATGCCGGTATTCTTCCAGCGGCTCATCTGATCAATGGTTTGATCGTTATATCTGTGATCTCTGCTGGTAACAGTTCGCTATATGTTGCATCTCGCACGATACTGTACATGGGACGATCTGGCAAGGCGCCGGCTATCCTAGGTCGAACAAACAAAGCTGGTGTTCCCTGGGTTGCTTTGCTGTTTACCAATCTGGTTGCTTGCATTTCCTTCCTTTCCTTGTCTTCCAGTGCCGGAAAACTATATTCTGCACTTATTACTTTGTCAGGAGGTATGAATTCAAAAAGAACCCCAGCTAATGGCCTGCATATACTAACAAGTTTCCCTAAGTGTGTACATTCATCGTTTGGGCTGTCATAGCCATAACCCACATTCGTTTCCGACAGGCACTCGCCATCCAAGGCGAAGATACCTCTGTGCTACCATTCCAAGCTATGTTCTACCCTTGGGGAACATATATCGCCCTTGCAGCAAACATATTTTTGATTTTCTTCCAGGGATACACCGCTTTCCTCCACCCATTTAGCGCTGAAGATTTCGTTGTCAACTACATCCTCCTTCCTGTATTCATTGTTCTGGTTCTTGCCTGGAAATTCGCTAAACAGACTAAGATCGTCAAACTAGAGGAGATGGATATATGGAGTGGAAGAAGAGAGTACGGAGATGATGTTACAGAAGATGTCTCCAAGAAGACTATTTGGACCAAGATTAAGGATATCATTGTTGGTTAATACCCCCCGATATTCCTTTTATCCCTTATGATATGATGCATATAGAAGTACACGTATTAGTGATCAAATATATAGTATGATTTTATATATGGTTTTTGTATATATTTTATTTATCTCATGAATCATTGCGCTACTCTGAATATCTAACGCCAAGCAGAGCCAAGTACAAACAAGAATAGTAAAACAGGACAAAGGGAGTCTCGGTGCGCTGTCGCAGTGGAGGTTAGAAGGAGATTTGTCAAAGCGCCCAGCGCCATTGGTTAGTTTAACTTAAAGAATCGGGTCTGGCTATGCATTAAGAAAGGAATGTAAGGGAAAGAATCAGGATTTGTGTGACAAGGGAATCACATAAATTTTCTCTGTTTTATCGGACTAGGGGTCCGTAGATGATCCTGGGACGCATAACCGGATGGTGGGCCAAGTTCAAGCCGTCTCTGAGGTCGGCCTTCCGGCCCCTGATCGTCTCTGAAAACACCCCGGTGGGGAGGTTGACTGAAAAAAGGGTTTTCTGTTTCTAGTCTTGAATGACCTGATGTATAGCTGCTGACATGAGCCTGTTGGGAGGGCATATGCGGAGGTGGAGAGTATCCAGTATAGCCAGGTGGCATATGGGGTGGATTGTTTGATTTGTTGCGGAAGAATGAAAATGTGAGGTTGGAAACAGTGACGCAGGCCGCTATGGAGGATATAAAAAAGAACTGTGCGCAGTTAGTACTGTAACATCATTGTTCGAAAGAGGTCAGGTAGTGCCAACTCGTACCATCGCTTTGAAACTGATTGGTTCAATGAAGCCGTTGAATATCTCCGCCAGCGTCTGTGCAGATACCCTTGCTCGACCAACCTTTGCAGGGTCTCTATGCATACATCTCTCCCAGTTGTCGCAGACCGTTTCCAGAGCAGGTAATCTTCTCCCGTCGGGATCACCGCAGCGGTTCTCGACGTAGTTCTTCGTGCATGTGGCTATCTCCGCCAGAATATCTGCGGACTGGCTTTCACTAGCGATCTCAACGTCGTGTTTAATGGCAAGCAAGAAAGCAACAATGACATATAATATCAGAAATGCGATTATCAAGTTAAATGTGAATTGGGCGTAGTATGACAGTATTCGAGGAATATGCGGATGAGTTTCGAGAAACGTAAAGAGGCGTGAGAGATACGGTATGTGGCTTGTGTTTTCAATTTGGTTGGATTGTTGTGCCTTTCCTGGCTTTCGGTCCAGCTCCCGACTGCTCGGCCGGTCATCACTGCTGTCTTCACTAGCGTGGCGGATGTGTCTGAGCTCCCGGTCTCGTCTCCTCCTCTTCTGGACCTTTTTCACCAGGGAATTAGAGAACTTGTTCGAGCGCGGTACTTCTCCACGACCCGAGCTAGGTGCAGCCGGAGCGTATATACCGTAGAGATTGAAAAGGGAATTGCGTCGTGTCGCCTTTGACGGTTGTTCAGGGGTCTCGTCATTATCTGCATGCTCGGGAGATGAGAGGTTTTCCGCTCCTGAGGAGACGTCCGCGTCGAGTTTGCGGGGAGTTGTGAAGGATGAGCCGCGGGTAAGATTGACGTTTGCGAATGAAGGTTGTGTGAGGTTCTTCGACTGTGCCGGCTGCTCTCGTGGTGCTGGAGCCTGTGGTTTTATGGGGGACGCAAATGTCCGACGAGCATCTGGAGAGGAACAAGTTAGCAAGGTTACCTACTTCACACGACACAACCCCCGCGTTCATACTTACTTGCGTGTTCGTTCTTCAGGGCGAGTTGGTAGAATGGCGAAGTGGCATCTCCTGGAGCTCTTGTCTGCCACTCAAAGTCCATGGGAGCTTCGTTGGAGCGGTTCTGCATGGTGACGGTTCGCGATTAGCATGTTAAGGACCGGCGCCTACAACATGCGCAGTTCAGAGCTGGAGAGCGATCAATCGTCAGCAGAGACGCCCGAAAGATTTGCAATCCTTTTATGCTGTTCGCTTTCTTTTCTTTTGGTTTCTGGTCGTTCTTTTGCTATTTCTTTTGATTTCTATTATTTTTATTTTTATTTTTATTTTCTGTTTTTTTGTTGATGTTGTTGGCCAAAGCTTCTGTTGACTAATCAACAAGGTAGTGTCATGTGACTTGGTCCGCTTATTAGTTTTAAGCCTCCTTTATTATGTAACCGATGACATCACTTTCATCATTATTTCACCTCAGCTCTATCGACCGAGAAGACATTTTGAGAAGTAGACCGGAGGGCATTGTATTGTAAAACATAGAGCATAAGACTGAATTAAACCTATATATGCCATCCACTAGTCTATAAGGTGAGAAATGCACCTGAACAATTAAGTATACTGACGCCCTAAATGCCAACTCCTAAAGATATTAACTCGAAAATTCTAGCCAATGTGCAGGACTGTACCTAGGTATAAAGCTATACAGAGCTTGAAACATATGTACGGATGGAGGGAGTTATCCCTGAGAGGTATATTTATTATTGCAGAGGCATTCGACTTGAACGGCCTCTCCTTCTCCACTTTGAGACAAAGTGGAGAGTATATTGTTATATCGCTCCGCGGCGCAAAGGATGTAGATCGTCTGCATGGGCTTCTGCGGCCCGGAGGGGGAGGGGGAGGGTTGAAGTTGAAGCATTTGGAGCAGGACCCTTATACGAGCGTAATCCACCAGGGAACGGTGATGATTCTGAGGGGCGGGGTTTCATGAAACCAGACGGGAAAAGGTCCGAAACCAACTTTCGAAACTGTTACCGTCAATAAGGGAGGATATCAAGTCCCTTGTCAACTAAGCTACAGTGTTAGCCAGGCACCCAAGAGGAGAGACATGCGACTCAAAACTTACCCATAACCTTATCCCATCTAGTCTTCCCTTCTACATCATCACTCTTATCTCTCATGGCCCATAAATCGTGTAAAAATGTTCGACAATTCCTTGCATTCCCCATGCCATAGCGATGTTCAAAGTTCAAAAGCAAGGTATTGATGCTGTCCCTGTCTGGCCCTGCAGATGCTTCACAGCCAGCTGTAAAGAGAGGTTGTAGCACGGCAATTCCAGGGCAAGGTTCGCCCAGGAACCGAACTTTGCATATCCGACTGATAATATGTTTTACCGAACTCTGAACCAAAGGATCTGTAGAGGTCAGGTTGAGGATACGGCGATATATTTGAACGAGTGCGACGTGGTGAAAGGCTTCGTCAACAGTGGCAAAGTCATATTTGTGCACTGAAGCATCGACCGTAGGCCTAAATCTCCGTTCTTGGGGGCCCATCTTTGAATGTATCTCATTGATGAGCTGATAGCTTTCATCAAGTACTGAGAGCGGAATGCGGTTTTTGGGGTCTGAGTCTGCAGGTAAATGCCCTCCTTCATCTTGTTTGAGAGCCAGGTCAGCCTCTATCGCAAGACGGTTGATTTGTTTGAAGATCGGTCCTAACGAGGACGAGAATCCAGCCAAATCGTCGATTTTATCATCGCTTATCAATTTTCGCATCTGGAGTAAGGCGCGAGAATCGTTTGGCATGACCAGATTTCCTGTTAATAGAGCAATGGTTTCGATGGATAGATACCATCGCCACAGAAGGGACATGGTATTGGTGAGTGAGTCTGGAGAAGCCTTTGACTTCTCTAGATAAGAAGATATTATTGCCGTTGTGCCTTGCAGGTGAGAACGCCATGAACCAGGGCTACGGCCATCCGAGACAAAGTCAGAATGACACAGGGTAAGGGTAGTTGCGACTACTGATTCGTCCAAGCTAGCCCCGGGCTTGGCCAGAGCGTCTTGCAGCTGACGGAGACTGGAGGCCTTGAGATGGTTGAGCTCTGACATGCTTTGGTCCATGCCCAGGGTCAATCTGTGAGTGGCTGCCAGGCTCAGCAGGGCGTTCATGAGATGAGGGGTCTGTGTAGCCATGGGCACGAGAACCCGGCAGAACATATCCTGGATTGGCGAATGACATGACATCGACAAGGTGGTGCATGATACGAAATGATCAAGGAGTTTCTGCTGCTGTTTCGGCAGCCAGCTCAGCTCAAACGGGTTGGCTTGAACTTCGGGTGTCGGCGGAGTATATCTGATCAGGCGGCTTTCGAATTCGATGGGGTCGTCTGAAGCTGACGAGGGAGGCGGCGTTGCCAGCGAAGACTCCCTCCCATCGTTGATATCAACTAATATATTCAAAAGAGTCAGGTAACCAAGGAGAATAGAACAGTTAAGTATTTAATGACCCAATAAATAAGCCAGGATTGCTCGGAGCACAGCTGCTGCCCGCGAGATAATGAGAGTGGGGCCCCATACATTGTAACGCCTGCTGCCCCTGCGACTGTTCCACCACGGCATCCACAGAGCTTGACGAGCGCTCTCCCGCTTTTGACCCATAAATAAACGCCGTGCTACCTAAACTCGCGAATAATGGAGAGAACGAGATGAAAATTTTAGCCTCATAAAACGTGCGTATAACTTTTTTCTTTTGGGGGAAGAAGGGGGGGTGCGGCACGGTTAAAAACGAAGAAATAATAATAATAATAACCTCAGCCCCGCCATGTGGCCCTGCGGGAGAAGCTCCGTCTGGGCATGCCAGGGTCAGACGAGAGCGGGAAGTACTAATAATAATGATAACAAGTACTCCGAAGTCACTCCGTTGGTGCAAGGTCAGGCGGGAGGAGGACGTGGGTAGGAAAAATGCGAGTTACGTACCTGAGGACGAGACGACCGGCAGCTGCACCAGACTGGGATCGCTCTTCATGCACTCGCCAAACCGGGACTTGGAGAAGGGCCGGCCCCCCCAGGAGAGCCGCATGGTATAGGTGCATTGCTTGCCGGCGCGCTCGCACCCTGTGCATGCAGGCTTCTTCTCGTCACACTTGCGATGCCGCTGGCGGCACTCAGTGCAACCGGACCGCGACCGCCGCTTCTGCGCATCGGGCTGCATGGCCAGCGGACAAGGGAGTCGGTCGGCGTCGGACAAGGATCGATAGTAGTAGTGAAGCGGCTCGCCCAACACGCCAGGCTGCGCATCAGAGACGGCTTTTGGGATGGCTAGTCGGTGGGCTCAGGCGTCACGAAGGGCGAGTTTGCGTGAGAGTGAGAGCGCAAACTTCGTCGCTGGCTTCCTGGCTTTCCTGGCTTTCCTGGCCGTCCGGGGGCGGTGCGGCGTGCAGCAGCCAATCAGCGTCCGCAGGTGGTTGTAAGTTCCCTTGTAGGCTTAGCGCCGGCGGCTATTAGGTAATGGTTATGTAATGATTTATGTCATCTAGTCGGCCATCAACAACATTCAGGGGATCTTGAGTGTAGAACACTGGTATTAACTGGTATTAAAGATATCTTCGTCCTGCTCATATATATATATATATATATATATATATACATGATTGGGGGCCCTACTCCGTGGATAGACATTCACTTTCGTCGTTGGTGATTGCTGCATTTCAAGTTACTGATTCACGTGATCATGATTGCTTAATAAGCCCACATTCTCTCAAGGCTCTTTTTTGCAGAATCGAAGACGAGGAAGCACGAAACATCGAAAGCCAATGGTTAAGGGTGATAGTTGATTGCTATCTACCAAATGAATGACTTCGGGTCAGGATGAAACAGACAAAATGCAATGCTGGGTATACTGGTACAAGTCATGTCATCAAGAAACGCCTGCGTCGTCCCCAATAGTTCCTCTCATGATGCTTGACCAGGAGGGGGAATGAAGAACAACAATGAAAACACCACACAAGACAAAAAGAAGACAAAGGGGTCCCCGGAGTCATTAACCGTTCGTCTCTAGCAGTCGTCATTAACTCAAGGGAAACAGATAAAACGTCTTCAAAACAGAGCGATATATCGCATCGGCCAGAGATCATTATTGCCGGGCAGAAAATATCGGGAAATCATCACTAACAATGTACAGTGTGGAAGGCAAAGAAAGGAGAAGAAGCAGCAGCAGAAGAGGGGGCGCTGAGTGGGAGAGTTAATAGTTCACAGGTTCGATGAGCTCGAATCCGTCCTCGTGGCCGCCATATCCCTCGTCGAAGTCCTCTGGATCGACCAGGCCGACGAATTCGTACTCTCGCGCAAGCTTCTCAGTCTGCTTGGTCTCAAATTTGTCTACTGCTTGCACGACAGCGGCACTGAGCACATGGCCTCCCTGGGCAGGGCTGGTGTTGGCGTCAAAGGAATATAAAGGGTCTAGACCCTCAGGAGTGGCTGGTGGATCGAGCTCTTCTTCATCAGATGAAGACTCTGCTCCACGGGACTCCCTTACGGCTTGGTTGATGGCATGCTGAATCGATACCTTGACAGGTACCTTGGAGTTGGACCCCGCAGCACTGAAAAAGAGCCGGATTTCCGTTAGCTATGGCATGACCTGAGGGCGAAACTGCAAACATACCCCGAATATTCAAGCAGAAGTTTTGGTCGCGGGCGGCAGACTCGGACCTCCTTCTGCCCCCTCGTGGGGCGAGTATTTGGCACAAACTCCGAAGTGTTGTTGGTATTCTTCGATTTGACGCCGGTCTTGGGAGTTGCGGTAGCCTTCCGAGTCTCTTTGCTACGGTTGCTAACGTGGGAATTTCGAGTCATAGTTTGGGCTAAGGTGGTGACTACGGTAGGAGAAGGGAAAAGAGTGGAAGGAACACCAGGGCGCCGATGGTAGGCTTCTAGCCTCTGGCCTGTAGGCAAAGGTCGTTGACGTGAGGCTCGGTCGATAGCCGGCTTCTACCGTCAGCGCAAGGTGTGTTCAACAAAGGGTCAGGTTGGGTTGGACAGCTTTCCAGGGCAAGAGAAGGTAAGTCTGGGTGGTTAAGATGCCAAATAGAGGGTGTCAGGTCAACTGCCGGCTGGCTAGCACTCCGTCTGGGTCACAGTCTTGCATTTATATCCTCGTCTCGCTCAGCTCACGAACGCCGGTTGAGTCACGAGGTGAATCATCCGCCTGCAACTGGCCCTGCCCCTGGTAACGGCGAAACGAAGGCGATGACGACACGGGCGGTTACAGCGTCACGTGGTGCTGCCTCGGGTGTATTTTTGGTATCAAATTACAGCAATACAGCTTATCTCATCCTATCTTCCAGCTGCGATAAGAGAGATTCGGAACATATTTTGGATAGTCTTGATGACATCAGCTTTTTTCTTTCGAGGTACTCATCTTCATCTCCCCGACTCGTTGTCTTTGCCTGCGTCTATCAGCACTTCTATCTTCGCCTTCAAATATGCCTGTCCGAAACGTTTGGGTCGAGTTTTCCTCAACTCCCGGTCTCTTCGCAGTTGACACCATGACAAACTGACAATTTATCTATGCGCTATCCATAGCGTTTACTGCAGAGGGAGGGTTTGATACTATCAAAGTCGGGACAACAGCACCCATCGAACAGAACGACCAGGTACTTGAACATGGAGCTTATAGACTGTCTCCCAAGTTGTCAGGGCAGGAAATAACTCAAAGCAGCGAACGTTGTTTCGTCCGTACTTTGTCACTCTCCGGCACCTCAAGGGACAATACAAGTTGCGTATCATGATCTCACGCCAAATTAACAAAGAAGCTCCCAAATGACTGGGATTTCGCACCGCCCATATCTTTCTTTCTATCTCTCTCTTCAACCTTTACGTAGCTTGGATTTGGGTATGCCATACAGGACGGCCATGGTATTAATTCTCCCAGCAATGGGCTTCTTCTAAATTCAGACATTCATGAAGAATGGGACGACTACGCAATAGCTGTGAATCTCGCCGACAATTACAGTACTGCGTTCAGAGCTTCAGGGCGAATGCAGCCCGTTACCAAAATACCATACTTCATCCCGCCTGCCTAAATCCAATCACCCCAGCCGTGTTAGTGATGCGCTCCTCCGGTGGAATTATGAGCAAGCTGTCCTCTCCAATATGCGTGGTACAGGCGAGGTTTCGTTCGATTTCCGCCCTAGGTAAGGACATGATGCAGGAGATTAGGGAAGGGCCAATGGCAAGCCAACGTATGGAAGCAGAACTCTTCGGACGTCTTTTACGGTTACGAGAATGATCAAGTTGCTGGCTAGATCCAAAGCAATGACTGCTACGAAAATTCCTGAGCGTGGAAGAGGTAGACGGAAGGGAAGAGCAAGGCAGGGGAAGTTGCTGGTGGAAGCTCGCGGATGACCCCCAAACATTCCGGGACCAAAAAAGAAAAAGCGGGTTTTATTGGTTGCGCCGCCCCCTTCCTGCATGAGGACCCGGTTACCTTGTGGGGATGGATGCCTAGCTACCGATCTATAGTCGGCAGCCTCGCTCACGAAGAGTCATCTCAGAACGCCCTTGTCCAGCTACAACTTGCTCTCCATGCTTATCATTTGATCATGGCTGCACTATGCAGGCCCATTTGTGGGGGATCAGTTGTTCTGGATCGACTCCGGCGGTTTGACTATATCTTTGGCCCTGTCATATTCGCTCAACACCCGGGTACCAAAACGCAAAACATTGCGAATCAGCTTCTTCTGTTCAAGCACCGGGCTACACCGAGAACTCACCACTCTTCCTTTCCCCTCCCAAGGTTGCGCAGCTTACGTCTTGTCGTGCATGGTATTGAAGCATGATTTCAAACATCGAACGATGCGGGGAGCTACGGGAGGCACCTCCGCTTCCGCCTGCTTCCAACTGACTACTGAGGTGGTAAACACGGCGCAGCTGGCCAGCTTGTCAGTCAACGAGGTGCAACAATTGCATGGGGTAGTGAGAAAATAGCTGATAGGCACGATATAATTAGCTCTGCATATTCTTAAATTAAATTTAACCCGCTCCTCCAGCAGCGTCGTCTCCAACAATACTAGCATCCAGCTCTCCATCATCCTCCTCATTGGGCAGCCGATCCGGGAACCACCCGAACTGCGCCATGTCGACGTAGAACTCATTCATGCTATCAGAGCGTACAATGACCCCTTCTTGCTCTAGAGCTTCTGCCTGTCTCGCTGCCGAACCAGGCCCGCTGTTGGCGCAAACCATGTTAATCTAAATCGCGATCTCATTGTCTACTTCACATGCGGAGTCCAAAGGCGTCATACCGGTGGGATATCATCCCTTTTGAATTGATAACCCGCTGCCAGGGTACGTTGTCGTTGTTATAGTACTCGTCTGGGCTTGACGGGAGATGCTTGAGGCAGATGCCAACCTGTCGAGACCGTTGAGCTGTACGACCGTATATGTTAGACACACTAAGGTAGATCGCAATGGCGATGAGCTATCACTCATTTATGAACTCACGGTGTCCTAGCAGACGAGCTATATGGCCGTAGGATGTCACTTTGCCATAGGGAATCTGCTGGATGGCCTCGTACACTGCGTTAAACCACCACTCTGCTTCGTCTGTACGAGCCATGGAGCCCCAGAGATGACTCAACGGCTGGAACTAATGGATATATCATACAGAGCGAAGAATATCAATCAAGCAGGGCGAGAGATGGCTTAGTTAACTTGTCAGCTAAGTTAACTAGCTAGTTAAACATATTGCTGAGGCTGAAAATACGAGATTTGAGTCAAACTTGGTTTAACTAGTTATTTCGTCTCACTTTGGCTTCTTCACCTTCAGCGCAAGGAAGGCCATCAAACATGATCATTTCTCAGGCTTGGTATCATCCTTTCTTCTCCTTCTCTTCCTTCTTTTCCCTTTTTTTCTGCATTTCCTCTTCTTCTTATGACCGTTATCATCTTGGAGCTTCTCGATATGCATTCACTGACCCCTCACCTCCCTGGCCTAACGCCCAAATAACTACCAGCAAACACTGTAATAACTTCACCAAGTTATCAGTTCTCTTCCCATCTACCTATCTAGTAAAGCTAGATAAATACTATTTCAATCTCTTTCTTTTAATATATGCAACAAGATAGCTTTCCCCTCTAGAGAGACTTGTTATCTGATTCCCTCAATCAAAGCGACCGGGGTCCTTTTTCAACAGCCTCGAGTGTCTACCAACTGCTGTCCTATAGTTTTCTATATCCCAATCTATACCAGAATCAAGGACCCAGATATGTCGGAAAGGCGACTGCGAGCATCCAAATTGCCGAGGTTTCCCCTACCAAATGTCGTCACTAACCGTCAAGGAGAAGAGTGGATGGATGGCATCGCAACACTTGACTTTGACTACTTCCCACCATTCCAGCATGTGATACCAGAGGAGAATCTCTCATCTGCTAACTTGCCGCCATTTTATCGTCTGCTCTGTGATGCTCAGGCGGTGGCCCTATCCAATTGGGGGTCCAAGGGGAACATAGCAAAGGAGCTACTTGGACTATACTGGCCAGCGGACTTTAATACAGACGGGAAGCTCAAGAGGAACCGCTTGTCGTGGAGCATCGGAAACCAGGTCCGTCCCGCACAGCGCCATCATCTCACACACCAAAGCTGTGGAAGGCCAATGAAGTCGATGCCATCCCAGGCTGCTGTTGATGAAGATGATGACTTTAAAGCAGCAGAAAATGGTAGCCCCAGCAAGGCCGACCGGCCATGCAAAGTTGTCCTCCTGCATGACTCAAAGGAAAGCGAGCGCGTGGTCGAGCTTGAATATGAAATCGACCGGTTGAAAGCAAGCTTGAAGCGTTCCGAGTCGCAGCTGGAAGGGATGCGGTCTCAAATGAACCAGGTAGAAACAGCAATGTCGGTGAGATCGGAGCTGGTCACAAATGCAATTGTCAACTATCACTTTTCGCGAGCAAACCTGGAGCTGCTGTCGCCCTCGATCTCGTCCCTGGTAGACGAATCCGTCTCTGCGGATGATCTCTCCGAACTTGCTGGCGGCGCAGCTACACTCGACCATCGCATCAAGGTTATCCAAGAGGTTGCTCGCCGATTGCAAATACCAGTATCTATCCCCCCGGAAATCATTGGTGAACCAGACGACTCGGACCTACCAGTTGATCCCAGCATTGCCTGGAACATGCAGGTAGGCCAGAACGGCAAGTAACTGGCATATACATTTCCCTTATTCCGGATTTCCCAGCACTTGGAAATTGGCCAGCCGACTGTAAGGGAGGCCCTTAGTCACGCTTACCTGTATGAAAGCCTGCCTGGCACCGAAAAGATCTGGCCTATCTTCCCCCGTAGCCTGACAGGCCGGAATCTGCAGCCGGTAACAAGCAAAGGCTAGCTTGAGCAAGGGACTACCTTTTACTTCTCTTTTTCAGCTCATTTGAGCCCCTTCACATTTTACCTATTTCGGGGGATCCTGGCAATGGTTATCTGCCTCGTTGTAATAGCCAACCCCCTATCCTATTCGGATATAAATAGTCCTTTGATCCTTTCTTTAACCCCATGGATATCTGGCTTTTTTTCGTTTTGACTATGCATGGTCTTATAAGTAAGCTCAATTTAACTGTTATAATGCCAAATCAGAACTTCCTTCTACCTGAAATGTCCCTTTCTTTTACTTGAGAATCCCTCGTAGCAAGCTATAGCAAGGATAGCCTGTAACTACCGGCGCAAGGGCTCAACTTATCCAGCCCTTGCGGATAGGGGTAGTTAGGCACGTAACCCACCAGAAATATCTATGGCCTTCGTACATGTATTCGCCAGGGAGACAGCATCGTGACTCTCCTGGCCTTGATGCAGCGTTTGTTGTCTTCTCTCTATCTAGGCGGTCTTTTAGAACATGCTGCTTACTAAGCAAAACTGCGGCTCTTCAACATTAAAATATCCTGAACGTCGAATGTGATTCCATCACAAGCTCAGCTTCACATCACATACATACATACATACACCATGTCTCTGGCTGACTACCTAGCGAAAAACTACCTGACAGCAGACACGCTATCGTCGGAGCGGCCGAAGAAGAAACGCAAGAAGAACAAGCATGCTGTGGCCGAGGATACCAGCGCCGGCGGGCTGATAATCGCAGATGACGACCCTCCGCTACTCTCAAGCTCGAGCAAGACCTCACGATCCAGACGGCCGGGTAGATACGACTCAGATGAGGACGATGAAATACCATACGCAGCACAGGCCGGAACAAGCAGTGAGTTCCGGAAAAGCAAGTCTTCACAATGGCGGAGCGTGTCTGGACCACAACCTCCTACAAACGACGAGCAGGTTGCGGCAGACGCAATTCTAGCTTCTGCAGCTGCTGAGCGGACAGCTCAGATGGAAGCCGATGACGATAGGCCCACGGTGGCCGAGGAAAACGACTCGACGCCTCGAATGGAGTCAGGTATGAGAGCTGGGTTGCAGACCGCTGCTGATATTGCGGCCATGGTAGCAGCTCAGGAACGAGAGCAGGCGCAGGAAGCCGAGAAGCTACGGAAGGAGAGAAAAAAGAAGGGGAAACAGGAAGTTGGGCTAGAGTCGGAAACAATTTACCGAGACGCGTCTGGGCGGATAATCAACGTTGCTATGAAGAGGGCGGAGGCACGCAAGGCAGCGGAGGAGGCTGCTGCTGCTGAGCGGGCGGCAAAGGAGGCCCTGACGGGTGATGTGCAGAGGCAGGAGAAGGAAGCTCGCCGTCAAGCACTGGAGGAAGCGAAGTTTATACCGCTTGCGCGAACGGCGGAGGATGAAGACCTAAATGCCGAGCTGAAGGCCAGACAAAGGTGGAATGATCCTGCAGCGGCGTTTTTATCTGAGCCCAAGAGCGGTGCCGCTGCTGGTGTTGCCAGTGGCACTGCTGGGGGAGGGAAAAAGGTATATAAGGGTCCATCACCGCCGAACCGATATGGGATCCGGCCAGGTTTCAGATGGGATGGAGTGGACAGGAGTAATGGGTTTGAACATAAATGGTTTGAGGCGCGGAACCGCCGGGGCAGGATGGAAACTATGGAATATGCCTGGCAGATGGATGAGTGATATTCACGGAAGCTCGATTGTTATTTTTTTTTTTTATTCCCGGACTGGATGGCGGAAATTCCTATTTACTTTCTGGAGGATATAAATAAATATGGACGAACGAACCGATACAAGAGACAAGAGAAACAGAAGGACAAATAAACCACCGTATGTATGAAATGAAATTCGTCCAATCATACGTTCTTCGCCTATTTTTCAAAGGAAAGAATGTGCTGTGTTTGTTTTTGTCTGTAGGTCAAGTGAGCGTGAGATGACCTATATCCCCAATTCCACCATCGGCTCCCCTCCTGAGCTCCCGACCCCGACCCCGGCTCCAGCTCCAGCTCCAGCTTCAGTGTACACACGACACCCTCAGCAGCCCGTCAGTTGCATCAGACAGTTATATTGCCCTCCTTAAGAATATAGATAGCATGACAAGTATAAAACGAGACCAACAACACCACCCCCTTTCAGCAGCGTAGCAGCAGGACGGTAAAGCATGACAAAGCACTAGCATGAACAACTCTATCTATTCAGCCACGATGATCCAATAAAAATCATGTAGGTTAGTTTCATTCTTTTGCTTCTTTTCTCATCCCGAGTCATCGCCGGCATTCTCATTTCGCCTCATCCGGCAAGTCAGGGGCTTTGGAGGTGCCGAGGGGGATGGATGATGAAAAAGCCAATGAGAGTGCAGGAGACAGATAAAGAGGGACGAGACGACCACATTGCGGCCGAGAGCAGAGGAGGGGACACCAGGATTGAACGCCGTTAACGATAATTTCGATGGTACCATTTGATCAAAGGAGGGATAGAGGACGGGGGAGCTAGTTCATCTTCTCTTGACCTCTGATGCCCAACCTTCGATGCCTTCTCCTCGACTTCCCACGGGAATGTTAAGGGAAATGTGATCCATTCCTTTGGTGCCGTTGAGATACTTATGGTTAGCCATCCCGCCTGCATTTGCCCTCCGTTCAGGTATGAGTTCGAGCATCGGGATCAAAAAGTCAGACACAGCCTTGCTCTCTTCCTCGGAAAAGTGATACTTCTCTCTAAGGACGTCAGGCAGTGCCCAGTGGCGTAGTCTGTGAATATTGCGGAGCTCTCCCTTCCGGTTGAAGATTTCTTGACTCCATTTTCCGGATAGACAGAGAGATTTGGGGAAAGGACCTAGAAGTTCAATGATCTGGGCAATATGGTCGTCGTCTTTACCGTATTTGGTGCCGGTCTGCGGGTCGAACAGGTAGTCACCGGTGATAAGTTCGAATGCCTGGATAAAAGGAGAGAGATTAGTAACTGAGGATCAGGTGAGAGCTGTGCGGGTCGCCTACCATTGCAGCCATGCTCCAGATATCGGTGCTGGCGCCCCATTTACCTCCGAGTATGACTTCCGGCGAGCGGTATTGGCGGGTCTGGATATCGTTTGTGAAGTGGTGTCCAACCCAGCAGGCGTTACCCAGATCAGCTATCTTAACGGAGATAATATCGATATTGTACTGGTCGCCAGCCATGGACTGGTCTGTATCTTTGTTGAGGGAGATGCCTGAGACTTCGCGTTCAAGCAGGTCGCTGCTGAAGTTAGTATACTACGTATGTGTGTAGATAGAACAACGAGATAATGACTTACGTAGTTTTTTCTCTTTGTTTCTGTTTTTCGTCGGCAGCTGCGTCCGAATCCTTTATGCCTAGTTTATCTTTCATGGATTGTTTGGAGGGAGTGGTAGGGGTAGCAGAGACTGTGGAAGTTAGGAGATACTAAGGTAAACAAAAATAGGGAAAGAGAGATAAGAAATATCTTACGAGGGGATTCAGCAAGGACCTGGTTGAGGCTGCTATGGGAGCTCTGCATGGAGGGAGTAACGTTGCGGAAAGGGTCCCCGCCACTGAAGCTGGCGCTGAGCGGGCTGGGGAGCGGCTGGCTGCCTGTGATGAGAGTTCTCCGTCTCCGTCTGCCATTTCTATTATCGTCTCTGGTATCGGCCTTCTTCTCTTCATCCTTGACGCAAGACTTGACGATCTGCTCGACATCTCCAACCTCGATGAGGACGTTTTCAGGTTTGAGATCGGTATGGATGATACCGCACTCGCGGTGCAAGTAATCTAGGCCGAGGAGGACCTGTTTTGTGATCTGTTTGACGAGGGGCATGGGGATGCCTCTGTGGTTCCAGCGCTTGATGAGGCCGAGCAAGTTTTCTCCCAAGACCTCGAAGACCATGCAGACATGGACTCCGTTGGGGCCACGGTGCTCGAACGAGTCGAGCAGGCTGACGACATGTCTGCGGCCCGGATGGTCAGGGTTGGCGCTGTTTATGCGGTTGAGAAGCTTGATCTCGTCTATGGCGGTCTCGGTGTAGTGGGCGGCAGAGCGCACGACTTTGAGGGCGACGTGTTTGCCCGTGGTGGTATCGCGGGACAGCCAGACGGTCGAGAAATGGCCCCAGCCGAGCTTGCGGACGACGATGTAGCGGCCGTTGTTGTAGGACTCGCCCACGGAGACCGGGTGGTAGCCCCCCTTGCAGTAGTCCTCGGAGTCTTCCTCGTCTGCAGCGTCGACTTCTTCCTCTGACGAGGACGACGAAGCTCGCGACAGGGGCGAACTATATGAAAGTTTCTGTCTATCCAGGAGTTAGCAGGCGGGCGGCACGTCTTTTTGGCCTTTGGCTATTGTTCAAACAAACATGGGGAGGGAGGAGGTGTAAACGGACTGGGTGCTGGACATGGTAGCTGGATCAGACTCCTCGTTGGTGATGATGGGCTTGAGATCAGAGGCCTTCCTGCGTTTCTTGCCCGCGGTACCGTTAGCAGCAGCGGCAGCAGCCTTTTTCAAATCGCCGCCATTCATCGTCGGGCGCCAGTGGTTGAGTGTATGGCGTCTGGAGGCAAGGGGGAGCCGAAGTGCCCAGGCGAATGCCCAATGGTGGTGGTGGTGGAGGTAGTAGTAGTCGTAGTAATAGTACTCGTAGTAGAGAGGTGGCTGTGGGAGCGTGAGAGACGGCGAGGCGGGACGACCGTTGACGGGCGCTTCGAGCAGGCCAATTCTACACGCAGGCCGGGGAGCTGGGCGGTAGAGAGGGCATCAGGAAGCAGACGAGATGAAGCTGGCACCGTGGATGGCAGAGGAGCAAGCCCTGGAGGCGACGATAGATGCGTTTCTTCGAAGGGAGGAGGGTGGGGGGTGGGAGAGGGAGGGCTGGTTCTCGCAGGCAGAGAGAGGCTGGTGGAGGCGCAGATCACGCTGAGCCCGGCGGTCGGTTGACGCTTTGCACCAGAAACAGGCGAGGAAGAGGGTGAGTCTGCGGTCTGGACGGCGCCAGTGCTGGCTTTTTCCTCTGGCGTTGTCGTTCTCGTTGCTGTTGTTGTTGTTGTCGTGAAGTTGTAGATCTGGAGGTGAAGAAAAAAAGTTGGCGGAAGAGCCGAAAAAGGCAAAAGCAACAACATCGAACTTTTTCTCTTCTCTCTCTCTCTCTCTAAGCGCCGGCAAAGTAACAACCAGACAACTCGACAGTTTCAGACAGCATCGCCGGCGGCTAGGATGGAACATGCCCGGCGAGTGAGGGAGTGAGAACGCCGCTGAGATACCCCCTTTTTTGAATAAGCTGTGACTGTTAACTACTACGCTGACTATCTGCTGACGATATGCCGCCGTGGGACGCTCCGTCAGCCGGCACGCAGCTGCTGGCCTCGCCCCTGATATGCGTTCTACGGCCGGTCTACGGACTGCTGTCTGCGCTACGGGCGCCGCCGTACACTCGCTCGCCCACGCAGCCGGCCGTCAGAGTGGTCTGCCTGTCGGACACGCACTCCCAGCACCGCTCCGTGGCCGAGATACCGGACGGCGACCTGCTGATACACGCTGGAGATCTGACGGACCTGGGCACGCCGGAGCAGATCCAGGAGGCAGCGGACTGACTGAAGAGCCTCCCGCATCGGTACAAGGTGGTGGTGGCCGGGAACCATGACGGGTGGCTGGACACAGGTGTGCGCGGACGGATTGCCGAGCTCAACGGGATAGACGAGAGCGCTGTTGATGATACACGGATAGACTGGGAAGGGATATGCTATCTGCAGAACTCGTCTGTTACGCTGGCGTTTGGCTCGCGGACGCTTACGGTGCATGGGATACCGCAGATTCCCCAGCTGGAGCCGCATGTTACTGTACACGCCTTCCAGTACCCGCCGTACCACATTGGGCTTCCCTGGCCAACGGCCCCGCCGGCCGAGACGGATATACTGGTGTCTCATAGCCCGCCGTTGCACCATGGAGACCTGTTTCCGAACAGCATTGGGTGTGCACATTTGCTCGAGGCGGCGTGGCGGGTGAAGCCTGCGTTGTATGTGTTTGGCCACACGCATGCTGGCCGGGGCGTGGAGCGAGTGTACTATGACGATGCGCAGCGGGCGTGGGAGATGATGTTGCATCGACGGCGAGAAGGGGGCATGCTCTGGGCCCGGGGTGAGCGAGGATGGAGCTGGTGGCTGTTTCGTCTGTGGTCGGTAGTGCGGGACCTGGTGAGCGTGTGCTGGGCGTGGAGGGATGCGGTGCGGGTGGTGTTTGGGTCTGTGGTGGGCGTCATCTGGACGAGGATATGGGGAGGGGAGAGGCCGTTGGGCAGAGAAGGGTGGATGGTCAATCCTGCGTGTATGGACGTCAGGGGCCAGAGAATTGTTGCTGGGCCGATAGTGGTAGACTTGTAAAAAAAAAAAAATCTATACAATTGATTCCTAGATCCCCTATATATATACAGGACAATGAAGAACATGGTATAGAAAAAGAGATATAAGAAAATACCACGCAAAGAAAACATGACAGATGAAGAAGACGAAGAGAAAGAAAAGAAGAGAAAGAAGAAGAGAAAGAAGATGGGTATTGTATTTATTATAGCTTTGAAACAGGCCTGTCTGCAGGCAAGCTCATCGGGTCATAAACGCTGTGAGAGAGGTTGTCGATGGGCCCCGAGACGGTGTGGACGGAGAGCCCCCTGGTGTCAAGCAGGTCGGGTCCCAGCTGGTCGATGCTGGTGCATCCGAGCAGCCGCATGTTCATCTCCATCTCGTCCTTGAGGAGCTGCATGGCCTTCTCGACGCCCTCGGTGCCATAGGCACTCATGGCGTATAGGAACGGCCGGCCAATTCCCACGCCCTTTGCACCCAGACACACGGCCTTGAGGATGTCGGTGGCCCGCCTGACGCCTCCGTCGATGTAGACTTCGATCTTGCGGTCCCATCCCCGGACACGCAAGGCCGGCATGACGTCTGCGAGCAGCTCGATGGCCGAGGGCGCGTACTCGAGCTGCCGGCCGCCGTGGTTGGAGAGCACGACGGCATCGATGCCAGCTTCAACGGCCCGCAGCACGTCGTCTACACGCTGCACCCCCTTGAGGGCGATGGGCATCTTGGTGATGGAGCGGAAGTACGGCAGGTCCTTCCAGGAGAGGCTGGGGTCGATGAAAGAAGAGATGGCGCGGGCAGCACCCTGGGAGCGGTCGACGGCGGCGGCAGAGGAGGAGGAGGCGGTGGTGGCCTGGACGCTGGAGCCCTGGTCGGCGAACTTGGAGCGCATGTCCTTCTCCCTGCGGCCGAGCTGGGGAGCGTCGACGGTGATGAAGAGGCCCTTGCAGCCGCGGGCCTCGGCGTGCTCGACGATGCGGCGGGTGATGGCTCTGTCCTTGTTGACGTAGAGCTGCAGCCATTGGGTCTGCTTGTCGGTCTTTGCATCGACGATCTCGTCAAAGGAGCACGACGCCAGGGTGGGGATCATCTGCACGACGTCGTGGGTAGCGGAGGCGCGCGTGAGGCAGACCTCGCCGTCCGGATGGCCCAGCTTGCCCAGCGCGGTGGCCGTGACGTAGAAGGGGGCCGAGACGGGGGTTCCCAGCATCGTCGTGCGGGTGCAGACCTTCTCCACGTCGACGAGGATGCGCGGCCGGAACCAGATCTTGTGGAACGCCGTGTGGTTTTCCCTCATGGTCTATCCTATTAGCATTCATCATATTCATAGTGACAATCGTAGAGAGAGAGAGAGAGGTACCATCTCGTCCTCGCAGCCGGAGGAGTAGTAGCCCCAGGCGGTCTTCTTCATGACGCGGCGGGCGACGGACTCAAAGTCCATCAGGTTGTAGCACTGGTCGAGCGAGGGCATGCGGCGGATCCTCTCGAGCCGCTGCTCCTCGTCCGGGTCGGCCGCCCTGAGCTGCTTCTCCATCGTGTCCATGTCGACGGGGCCGAGATGCTTCGAGCGGTCGAGGTACCGGTCCAGCGTGTCTGGCGGGTGAACGGGCTCGAACTCGGCCGTCGCATCTTTGCCCGCGTACTTGAGGATGATCTGCTGGCCCCCGGGGTGTTCTAAGCCTCATCAGCGTCTGCTCCTCTGCCTTGCATCCGTACTCCGTCGCTGCTGGCATCTAGGTATCAATCGTAGTAGGCTTGCTTACCGGGCAAGAAGTCCGTCACGTCGTAGGCCTGGCCGTGCAGCACCACCCAGCACGACGCCGCCGAGCTGTGCCGCGCGACCTCTGCGCCCGTGAGTCTGGCCATCGCCGGCTCTCTCTGGCTCTGTCTCTCTCTCGATCCTCCTCTCTGTGGTCTTGTCTGTTGTTGTCTGGTTGAGTCGGTTGAGGCTGATCGTGTGTGTCTCTCTCTCTGTCTCGTCCTAACTTAGCTCGCCAGCCGGTCAGCACGCCGCAGCTTTATATCCAGCCAGTGATATAACTAGTTGACGACCAAGTAAGTCGGCGTCTCGCACGAGAAACGCCTCGGAAAAGAAGAAAGACGACGGCGAGGACGAGGACGACGCAGCAGCCGAAGCTTTCATCGCCATCCACTCCATGTGGTTCTGCTTCCTCGGCTGTTTGTGCGTGGCTTGAGGTCTTTGCCTGTGGCTCGGGGGCTTCGATGGACTGACTTACAGGCAGCGGCAGCGGCAGCGGCAGCGAGGTCTTCAGCTGGTCAACTGGTGATACTCCGTGCTGGTCGAGGTGATGCCAGTAGTAATTATATTATAATATACTCCCCCGACAGCTATATAAGTATAAGATCGTATGTATAAGTGTATGAATGCAGCGGAGGGCGACCGACGGAGAACAGCCGCCGTTTCATCGCAGCGCCGGCCAGGATGGAGACTCCAAGACGAAGACGAGCAGCGCGCTGTAACACCGGCTGTTAAGGCCAGGCATGCGGCATGCGGCCTGCCTGGGGGGTCGATGGGATGTCACAGGCCGATCGCCGGCGGTTGGCCTGATAACTAGAGCTAGTCGTTAAGGCGTAGTTAGTCGTAGTTAGTTGCTGGTAGTTATTCTTAGCTGCACTGCTAGTGTTTAGCGACTCCAGTGTTATCACCGTCACCGTCATCGCCATCGTCATCGCCATCTCACCTCCAGGGCCAGCGCCAGACAGCAACATACGACATACGACATGTAACATGAGCAACAGCCTGGAAGCCAAGATCGTTGTCCTCGGGGCCCAGGGTAGGTCCTCCCTCTCCACGGTGGTCTGCTGCGACGCTTCTACTGACTGACGGGCTGCAGGAGTCGGGAAGACCAGCCTGGTGCAGCGCTACGTCCGCAACTCGTTCAGCTCGACGGCGCCCGCGTCGACCGTCGGGGCCTCGTTCGTCACCAAGCGGGTGCTCGACTCGACCTCGGACACCATCGTGCGGCTGCAGATATGGGACACCGCCGGCCAGGAGCGCTTCCGCAGCATCTCGCGCCTCTACTACCGCGGCGCCCACGCGGGGCTGCTCTGCTACGACATCACCGACGAGCGCTCCTTTGACGAGATGCGCGGCTGGCTGCTCGAGCTCAAGCAGAATCTCGGCGGTGCTGCTGGCGGTGCTGGCGGTACTGGTGGTGGTGCTGCTGACGGTGAGGCCGCGGACGGGCTGGTCATCCACGTCGTCGGCACCAAGTCGGATATCGTGGCGGACGACCCGGCCCGTCGACGGGTGCCCTTTGAGCGTACCATCGCCTACGTCGCCGAGCAGCTGTACCCGTCCCAGGCATCGACGCCGCCCCCGAGCTCTGGCATCGGCAGTGCCAACAACAATAACAACAATAACAATAATATCTACAGCAATAACTATAGTGGGAGTATGGCGCCAGACAGCAAGCGCAACAGTGGGTTCTGGGCCCAGGACATCGGCTGGGACTGCTGCCACGAGATCAGCAGCAAGGACGGCGAGGGCATCGACGAGGTGTTTCGGGTCATCACCCGCAAGCTGGTCGAGCAGCGCACCCGGAGAGAGCGGCAGGGCGAGGCGTCTGGGGGCAGTGCCGGTGCTGGTGCTGCCGGTGCTGGTGGTGCGCGAGCTGGTGCTGGTGCTCGTTCTGGCGCTGGTGGTGCTGGTACTGCTGGTGGTGCTGCTGCTGGCTCCTCTGCCATCCACACGCCCGGCAGCAACGGGAGCATCAGGGCCCGGTCGAGAGCCGGCCGCACCTCGGGAGACGCTGACAAGAGGCGCAGTTGGCTCAGTTTTCCGCCGGCCCTCATAGGCGATGCGGAAGACGAGGCCGAGCAGGAGGGCGGCGGCGGCCTCGACCTCACCGTCCAACGCAAGCGATGCTGCTGACCCTCTTCTTCTTTTAATATTTCTTCTTCTTCTCCTCCTCCTCCTTTTTTCCTTTCTACGTTCATTCTTCCGGGTAGTTTTGGAGTCTCAGACGGAGCACCACTGCATGGCGCATCAGGCACTCAAATTTGAATATCAGCACACACTCGGGCATCTCAGGCGCATCTCTCTCTCTCTCTCTGTTTCTCTTGCTTCTCTTTCTTTATCCTACCAGGATCCTGCATGTCTGAACCATGAGTTAGTTAGTTAGCCTGTCTAGCTGCGACTAGTTATGGGTCTGAATGATGACAATCTTTTCTACTTCGTCACTGCATCCACAGCTACCAAATATTCACACCATCCATCCAAATTTAAAAAAACACAGCCCTACCTATAATATAACTACGGAGTAACTCGCTAGCTACTCGAGATAGATAGCCCAAGATGAACGCGGAGATCGAGCTCCGGACGCAAGAACTGCCTCAGGAATCACGCCATGAAGGAGTAATGGAAGAGAAAAAGGCCACCAGGATCGCGGCCGCGGCCTTTTGCTTCCTCGTCGCCGGCGTCAATGACGGCAGCCTTGGGGCCCTGGTCCCTTATCTGCTGCGCTCCTACGGCCTCTCCTCCTCCGCCGTCGGCCTCATCTGGGGGCTCTCCTTCGTCGGCTGGCTCCTCGCCGCTCTCACCGGCAGCTGGATGCGCTCTGCAACGGGGCTGGGGGGCGCTCTCGTGGCCGGCGCCGCTGCCCAGCTCCTGGCTCACCTCCTCCGCTTCTGGGTACATCTACATCTACATCTAATACCCTATCTATACCATATACCTATACCAAAACTGCACAGTAGCTGTACGATGCTAACGTTGGTAGATGCCCCCGTTTGCTCTGTTCGCAGTGACCTTCGTCTTCGCTGCCCTGGGCCAGGGATACCAGGACGCCCAGGCAAACGTCTTTGTGGCCGGCCTCGAGGGCGCCCATCGCTGGCTGGGACTGATCCACGCCAGCTACAGCGCCGGATGTCTCGTCGGGCCTCTGCTGGCCGCTCTCGTGGCTACCCATACCGATGAATGGATGTACTTCTACCTGGTGCCGGGAGGGCTCGGCCTGCTCAACTTGCTGCTTGCCTGGTGGGCGTTCAAGGAGCACGTCTGCATCTCGATCTCATGGAGCAGCAACACCAGCCCTACTAACGACTCCAATGCTGATTCTACTACCTCTACATGGACAGAGATGAAGCTCACGCTGCAGTGTAGGCCCGTCTGGCTGCTCAGCCTGTTCTACTTCTTCTATCTCGGCGCCGCCATCACCGTCGGAGGTACAACACCGTCACCCCCCTAAATATCAAACCACAAGTCTGACTGCAACTATAACTATAGGATGGCTGGTCGAGTATCTCGTCCAGGAACGCAAGGGAGATCTCTCGCGTGTCGGATACGTGCCCACGGGATACTTCGGCGGCATCATGCTCGGCCGTCTCCTGCTGGCTGAACCGGCCCATAGACTAGGCGAGAAACCCGTGATTCTCGTCTGTTCGCTGTGCTGTTTGGCCCTGCAGATCGTCTTCTGGCGTGTCAACAATATCATCGCCGACAGCGTCGTCGTCAGCGTCTTTGGCTTCTTGTCAGGGCCTTTTTTTGCCTCGGTAACTAGTTAACTGATTCATCCTGTCTTTTCCAACCCACTTGGCTTTTATTGACAGCTTCATAGGGAATGTCCGTGGCTTCTAAGCTGATACCAACGCACATTCATACGGCTGCCCTCGGTAAGTCTCTAGCATCATTATAACTAGTTATCAGTTGTGCAAGAGATTACTTCTAACGCCAGCAGGACTCATCTTCGTCGTGGCTCAGGCTGGCGGAACGGTTTTCCCAGCAGTCACCGGCGCCATTGCCTCCAAGGCTGGTGTCAGTGTCCTGCAGCCCATCCTGGTCGGCCTCATCGCTCTCATGGGACTCAGCTGGGCCTTTGTCCCGAGCGTCGACAGGAAAAGGGATTAGCACAATCCGCCTCTCATTATATATAGGAATGGCTTGACAGACGCTCCTTGACATTCTCGTAATTATATATACAGGTTTGTTTGTATAGACATTACTAAGACCCATGCACCCCAAACCCACCTGGCATCTCCTCTGGGGTCAGCTTGAGCCATGGATCGCTGAGGATTTCTTCTGCTGTAGCTCGCTCGTCCGGATCCCACGTCAACATCCTTCGAATAAAGCGTAGGAACATCTCTTTCTCCTTCTCAGATGGGATGGTAGTGATAAATTCTTCGAGGCTGGTCTTTGGGATCGGTGCCTCGCCAATATACTTCCCTGTTTTCCAGTATAAGTTACCACCACCATTCAAACAGTAAAGACAGGGGAATAAATACCATCACCATCAAAGTACTGAGATAAAACCGGGCTTTTGCTCATCAGCAGTGGCGGAGGAGGACCAAGGTAGCCTATGTACTGTGCCATTGCTAGCGGGTACACATACTGCCTATGCTCGTGATCAATCGGGTCAAACAGATTTCGGCCTTCTATCAGTTCGAGAATCTTGTGAACTCAGTCAGTCCAACTACTCTAAGCTTGGACATCATATGTTGAATACCGTGTAAACTCACCATGATGCCAACAGACCACATATCAACGGCGAAACTCCAAGGGAGTTGCAATAGGATCTCTGGGGCACGGTAAAGATCAGGCATCCACCAGTCCCTGAACTCACCCTGGTCTTCCCCTCCATCGTCTATTACATGCCGCATCTGACCAAAGTCCGTAAGAATAGGAATACCTGTAAATTCCAGTCTAGTAGGCCGGGATTTGTAGACAATACCCGACACAGTTCCATTCTCGTCTTTAGTGGTAATAGGCACACTCGGATTTTGAGACTCCTCTTCCTCAACCTCTCTGAGGCTAGTGAAGTCATCACCGATGTCCATGAGGATGTTCTGAGGCAGTATATCTATCGTCGTCAATATCTGAATAACTAAAGTATAAATATACATCTGAAGACCTACCAGTATGCACAACGCGAGCGCCTGCATGTAACCAATTTAGCCCAAAGAATAGTCGATGGACAATTGATTTCACTAGCAGCCTAGGCAAGATGCCGCCCGGGAACTCGTCTTGCAAGGCGCGGACACTATTCCCCTGCGGCTTGGTTACAATGCAGTAATGACGACCACCAGTTACTGGACTATCAATCTCCAGGATCTCTTCGGCAAACCGTATGAAATCCACTCCTGGGTGGTTGATCTCTTTGGTTTCTACCGCAGCCGACTTCAGGTGCTTGAGCATGTTGACTTCATTGAGCACAGGGGGTATTGAAGCCCGCAGGACATTATCAGTTTGCACAGTAACCTTGAGCGTTTTATATTCTTTTGTCCTATACTTAAAGTGAGTATAAAAAATCAACAACGAAGTATTCGTTACCTAGGGGAATGCATAAACACCTATTATCTCTTGCAAGCCAAACAGTCGAGTATCCACCATAGCCAAGTTTTGCGATCACTCGAAATCGACCATTGAAGGCTTCGCCAATCTTGACGGGGTAATAGTTCTTGCGACGGTAGAATGAGAGAACCTGTTCTTCTACTGGCTCCTGCTGCGCCATCTTGTGTGTCCAACGGCGGTGGTAAGTCGATGTAGGTGATCGAATAGCGCGGCGAATGATTGAAGAAGAGCAGAATGCCGGGGATCCGAAGCGAAATCTCATGAACACACTGGCAGCCATGGTTACTCGGCTTCTTCTTTCTCTTCTTCTACCCGCTCCTGTTGCTGCTCTAGTCCTTTAATAATACCCCATTTCGAACAAAGGGGAGTGCAGTAAGTTTTACTTGCCGCCCGCCAAGCGCGCTTAGAGCTCCAAAGGGGCTGGCTTTCCTTCACGTGATGAACGACTATCCAGGCTTGGCGTTGAGGCTAAAATTAGTTGCCGCCAAGGTTTCGGCTATTTCTATTCTTATTTCATGCCATTTTTTCCTCCGCTACGCCGCACGCGTAATGAATGGACGGGGCACTCCAATTGGGGGCCCGCGGCTGCAGAACAGCCCTGATAGGAGAGATCCGTTGTCAATGCAGCCTCAAACATTTAGCTGATGGTTGACTAGTTGGCGGAGAATGGTGGTTTGCCTGCATGAACGCAAATCCTGGAACCTTAATCAAAGAAGCAGGTGAGTTCTTTCCAGACTGCTCCGCGCTTCAAGCTGCAGGCTAGTGCATTGTGACTCTTTTAGCCCCATCATTTTGATATCCGTGGGATGCATAAAGCTCAATGGCCGTCATGCTCGATATCGAGCATGGCATAGGTGGAGCTACTGCCATAGACAGTAACTTTTTGGGGGCCACATTTAGTGACTCCCCTGCATATCCCAGTACTTTGGGCCCGGCGTTACGCCGTGCTTCTGACAGCCCTTTTGACAACCTATCCAGGGAAGTTGCCCATGAAATTCATGGAGCACCAACTTTACATGCACCGTGTCGTGTTCATTCGTGGATCGATGGTATACAATAGACTCCTGAAACATAAGTGCTTCATAGTCTGATATACGCCGTTGAACCATTGGTGCTGAATGGTTTATATCCATGCGCCGATGTATCTATACTCTTCGTTGACAGGGCATGATATTCCAAATACCTGGCCTATGATGCCCTTTACAAAACCTGTAACTTCAGGGCGAAGTTGCTTATAAAAAGGGGGTTCTGCTCCGCCGTGATATCGTCCATAACAATGAGCAGCCTCCTATATCATCCCAGACAGATAATATCACTTGATCCAAGCACTTCTAATTTCCTCTTAATCATTTACCTAAGTGTTCCTTGCCATTTTCTGACATTTCATACATCTTCACACACTGCTCACTTCCTACTTATCGATTTGACGACTCCAAGATGGCTAGCAAAGCTCTGAAATACACTACTGAGCTGTTTAACGGTTGTTCACCCACATACAAGCGTCTTCTCACGATGACTGCCGAAGGAAATAACCCACATGTAGGCCGACATGTTTCCATAATCGCGAAACAATTGCTAACTACTCTGTAGGTCACGTTTCCCTTTAAAGGGATCAAGCTCCCTCGGGGCACGAAAGAACACTGTCCCTTCACTGATTTGGAAGAAGTACGCAACTCTGTTACTATCCAGTTCCTCGGCACTCCTTATGGAAACATTACGGCGCATCTGTTCAATGATGGAACTATCAAAACTTCTACAATGATGCACCAGGAGAACAACCGACGCAGGGAGCACGAAGCCAGATTGCTCGCTGAAGAAAACAAATTCCCACACCTCAACCAGACACCTCTGCGCACTCAAGCATACAACAGGAAGATGGCAAAGATTCGAAATGCACGGGACAACTCAACCTGGAGTATCATGAAGAAGCAGCTGGAGAAGGCCACCGCAGAGGAAGAGTATAGCCGGTTTCTCCAGGAACAGGCTGAGCAACGAGCCAAAGCTGCAAAGAAGTAGGGGGGTCGGGTCCTTGGACCCAATACTGTGCCAGAACAATGGGGACAAAGAGGGAGCCTATAACAGGGGCCAGAAGGTTAAAGCTATTATTCGGCAGGTCGATATACGCAACGGAGAGATATCACTGTATGTTCATGGCGGAGGAAAAGAAATGTTTCGGCTGTTCTTTTTTTTTTTT